ATGATTGATAGATAATATAGATGATAGATAATAGATAGATGATAGATGATAGATAATATAGATGATAGATACATAGGTAGATAATAGACAGATATAATAGATGATAGATAGATAAATAGATATGATAGATGATATTTAATAGATGATAGATTGATAGATAGTAGGTAGGTAGGTAGGTAGATGAGAGGGAGAGATTAGAGAGAGAGAGAGGAGACACACACACATAGAAACAGATGATAGATAGGATGGATATATATTAGAGGCAGACAAAAAGAAAGAAGATGGGGAAAAACTCACTTAACAAATATGTCACTTAGCAACATAAATGTTGGCCTCGACTGCGGTCCTACCTGAGCTAACCCACCACGTGACGGCTGTTTCCCTCCCAATGAATCCTGGGAACTATAGTCCCGACGCCTGCACTGCCGCCAGGTGCAAACGGCGAGATCTGCGCTTGCGCGGCGCAGAGGCCACTTGGGAGGAGCTTCCGAGGCCCCCTTGGAGCCTTGGGGACCTTTCCTCCACCTCCCATCCCGTCCGCGGAAGGGCGTGCAGGCGCGCCGGCGGCCGCACGTGCAAGCCTGGCTGACCACGCCCCTTTCCCCCCCCAGGTCCAAAGAATGAGTCCTCCGGGGTGCCGATTCTTACCATAGAGGTGGGACGGTCTCTCTCCGACTTCTCGGGGAAGAGCCGGAAGCGCGCTCGCCATCCGGAAATGACGACGTTTGATGCGGCCAGTGCGAGGCCGCGGCGTTGCTGCTGAGGGCGGCGGTGTCGTAGAAGGCGAAGGCGGCGTTGGCCCGCAGGTACTTCGGACTCCCAGGGGCAGAAGGCTGACGAAGGCTTCCTTATCCGGGCAGCGAGAGCGGGCCGCCCCCCAGGGACTCTCGCGTCCGTGCGGCTCCCAACGGGGTGGCTTGCCCTCCATTGTGTGTGTGTGGGGGGGGGGACTACAACACCCATCGCCCGCGGCTACCGCAGAGACTCTGGTTTTCTCTAGCCTGGGGCCGCCAGATGCACAGAACTGCCGTGATTTCTCTTCCACGGTTAGCCTACTACGTAGTTCAGCTTAATCAGAATAGAGCTGGAAGGGACCTTGGGAGGTCATCTAGTCCAACCCACAAGCAGGAGATCCTGTAGCATTTCAGACAAGTGTCTGTCCAGTCTCTTCTTAACCAGTTTAACATTTTTATTGGGTGATAAGATAAAAACCAATCTCTTCTTTAAAAACCTCCAGCCATGAAGCACCCACAACTTCTGGTGGCGAGTAGTTCCACTGGTGAATTGTCCTCCCTGTTAGGAAGTTTCTCCTTCATTCCAGGTTGCTTCTCCCCTGGATTAGTTTCCAATCATTGTTTCCTATCTTGCTTTCTGGTGCTTTGGAAAATAAATTGACCCTCCTCCTGTTTGGGGCAGCCCCTCAAATACTGGAAGGCTGCTATCATGTCCCCCACCCCCCATAAAAGTCCTTCTTTTCTCTGGACTAATCAAACCCAAATCTTGCAACCCGTTCTTTGTATGTTTTAGTCTCCAGGCCTTTAAACACCCTGGTTGCTCTTCTCCGCACTTTTTCCAAAGTTTCAACATCTTTTTTTGTAATGGGGGCAAAACTGGGTGCAGTATTCCAGGTGCGGCCTTACTAAGGTTGTATAAAGCAGTACTAATCCTTCACATGGTTTTGATTCTATGCCTCTGTTTATACAACCCGGACTGTATTAGCTTTTCTTGGCTGTTACTGCACACAGCTGGTTCATGTCTAAATGATAGTCCACTAAGACTCCAAGGTCCCTCTCACAGTGACTGTTTTTGAACCAGGTTTTGCGAAATCTATAGTTACACCTTTGATTTCCCCCCCCCTTCCTAACTGTAAAATCTTGCTTTTCTCCATATTTTGTTAGATAGGGCCCTTTTGTTCAGGCATGCTAAGATCTTTTTGCATCCTGAGGTGTTGGCTTCCCTAGTATGCCCTTCCCAGTGTGTGAATTACAACTCCCATCATCCATGATTCCCTCTTCAAGCACTCCAAAAGCATAAGACTAAAAGGCCCATCCGCCACAGTTTATAGGTCCCAACAGCTTATAGGTTGTCCCAAGTTATATAGGTTATATATAACCTATAACCCTTATAGGTTATAGGTCCCAAAACTAAAAGATCCCAACAGCTTATAAGTTGTCCCAACCTGGTCCTCGATTTTTTTTTCAAGGGACACACTACCCATCTTCCACAATTTATATAGGTATTGCTGTTAGGGTTGATGCCTGAGCCACTCTTGGTGGTTTGGGAGGTGGGAATTTATTTGGTTGTGCCTTCTGATCGATTGTCTTTTTTTTCCTTTGGTATATTTTGTTTTTATTTTTTATTTATAAGCCACCACGGACATAGCGGTCTCCAAAATTTGAAAGAATCAATGCAGGTGGTCTTCAACTTACAACCATTTATCTAGTGACTGTTCAGAGTTATGATGACACCTCAAACCATTCATATTGATGACTTTTTTTCACGCTTATGTTGCAGGTCACAGGATCAAAATTCAGATTCAGGATCAGAATTGAGATGTTTGGCAATGGACTCCTATTTATGATAGTTGCACTGTTACAGTTCTTAAGTGAATCACTGCAGTGGCACGGTTGTTAAGTGAATCTGGCTTTGTCGGAAGGTCCCAAAAGGGAATCACTTCAACCATCATAAATAGGAAGGCAATTAATTGCCAAGCTGCTGGATTTTGACCCAAAATACCAAATATAGCTCAAATGCTATTTTATCTGGAGAATCAGAGAAGAGGGACAGCAGAAGCTGGTAGCTGCCCTGAAAAATTCCCTTCCCCACAGCAAGGGAAGCTGAGATGGTTAAAATGCTTATTTTATCCAAATAAGAGATTATATTTAATTTTGTCTCTAGTTCGAAACTGCTTCCTGACTTTGGGTTTGCAATGTGGGGAAAAAAGATATGAAAATTCAATTCTGTTTTTGTAAATTAGACTTATTGTTATAGAAACGGCTTGAATGTACTGGTGTGTAAAAGGAAAACGTTGTGGTTGCAATGTTGTTCCCTTTGACTGTGCCAAAGAGAGTTAGAAGTCGGTGCTTTTTTCCTTTTTTTCCTTCCATTACGCTATACCCCCTCTTTCTCCCTTCCTCTCTTCTTACTTTTCAATGTTTTTTCCTTTGTATTTCTTCTACCTCCACGCGCGTGCGTGCACACACACACACACGGCAAAATAGCACTCAAGCATCATCACAAAATCTCCAGAACCTTGAAATTTGGCCCGTATGTTCCTCTTGGCTTCTAGGTGCTGACTAAGAAAGGATTTTTTGAAATGACCATCTAGGTGCTCACTAAGAAAGGATTTTTCGAAATGACCATCAGAGTATTTAGAGTATTTCCTATATTCTTATTATTATTAACATGCTCTGATGCTAAGGAGTTCTACTCTCCTTCCCCCCTGAAAAGAAATCTCTTCCAAATGCAAAACACAAGCAGAGGAGTTTCAGTGTCAGTTTTACTTTCACAGCAGCACCAGGCAGCTTTAGTACAGAACAGTTGAGCTAAGCCACGCCCAGGCTCCTTGCTGTCTCCTTGCTCACACAGCAAATATTTGTTCAGTTTCCAAACAGCCCTCAACTCTCTCACACACTGACAGGATGCTAGCCAGGTGAATACCGATGGATGCTGGTAGGCAGAGGCAGGAATTTCTCCCCCTTATTTTCCTCCTCACAAAACTAAGCCCGAACACATAGTTTTGTAGCGAAGCACGGGGATCCAGCTAGTACTTGGATAAACTTAAGAAAGAAGTTTTAATAAAAAGAAAAATTCCAAGGTGATCCCAAGCAAGAGATGCTCCATTATCTTCTCCGTTAACTACCTCCCTTTTGATTTTTCTTTCTTTTCTTTTCTTATCATCAAGGCGTCTCTGGATTCTCCTTGCTGCCTCTTGACCCACCCACCCCGCCCAGCGCACCATGGTGTCTTACCACATCCGCAAGTACCGTCCCGGGGACCACGAGACCGTGCGGGACTTGTTCGCCACCGGCATGAGCGAGTACGTGCCCACCCTCTGCCTCCACGTGCTGAAGCAGCCTTGGGTCATCCTGATCCTGGCTTGCACCTTCAGCCTCCTGCTGACCAGCTCCAAGTCGTTGCTCCTACCCATCCTGGCCATCACTTTGCTGTTGGCCGTCGGGCAGCAGCTCCTGGGTTACATCTGGTCCATGTACATCGACCGCTGCCTCCAAGAGGACCTGCTGGACATCCAGGCCACGTACCTGAGCCACAAAGGCTCGTGCTTTTGGGTGGCCGAGGTGGACGAGTGCGTGGTGGCCACCGTCGGGGCCAGGCCCGCGGAAGGGCAGCGCAAGGAACTCACCTTGAAACGGATGTCCGTTCGGAAGGACTACCGGGGTTTCGGCATCGCCAAAGCCCTTTGCAAGACTGTGATCGGTTTCGCCCGGGAACACGGCTACTCTTCGGTGGTGCTGAACACCCTCATGGTCCAGCACGAAGCCCGGGCGATGTACGAAGGGGTTGGCTTCCGCAAGTACCACCACTACGTCCTCCCCACCATCTATGGCAGGCTGGCCCACTGTACGATTTCCAAGTATCGCTACGACCTCCCTAGCGCCGAGTGAGGCAACCTGCCTGAGGAGGTTGCCTTCCCGGTGATTGGCTGGATCCGCCCTGGCGCCCCCCCCCCCCCCCCTTCCTTCATTCCTCCACCTGGGACGCATCTGGTGGGAAAGCCAACCCAAGGGCGGGCAGGGGGGTGAGGCTTTTGACACACACTGCGAAAGAGTTGTGTCTCTCCACTTCTGGATCTTGGTTTTTCAAGGAAGGGCGTTCTCAGTTTTCAAGGAGGGCTTAAAAACTTTGAACTGCAAAGGTTTTAGCGACGTGGGAAGGAAAATTCACACACACACATACACCCCGGTCTCCTCGCAGTGTCTTTGCAAGTGAGGAGGAGGGGGGGGGAAAATTCTACATTTTTATTTGCAGAGAAGAAGCATTTCGCCATCTGCCGCCATTGGCCATGGAATTGGGAGGGGTAAACAATTTTAAAACTCACATACATCCAGAGAGCTGTTCACATAGCTGTTCACACCCAGAATAAACACCCTGTTGCCTGTTTTTAATCCAGGGTGCCTTTTTATATTTTTTTTGGCCTATCGTGCTTGACTTTAGAAGGAGCCTCTTCCGCCCTTCTTCCAAGATACCCAGCCACCTGGCATTCTGCTGACTTGGAGACAACGAAAGCTTGGGGTAATAGATTAACAGATAATCACAGTTGGAAGGAACCTTGTAGGTCATCTAGTCCAACCCCCTACCCAAGCAGGAGACCTTACTCCATTTCTGACAGACGGCAGTCCAATCTCTTCTTGAAAGTGTCCAGGGATGAAGCTCCCACAACTTCCGAGGGCATCTTCTGTTCCATGGGTTGATTGTTCTCACTGTCAGAAAATTTCTCCTTATTTCCAGATTGAACCTCTCCTTGTTCAGTTTCCATCCATTATTCCTTGTCTGGCCTTCGGGTGTTTTAGAAAATAGCTTGACCCCCTTCCTCCTCTCTGTGGCAGCCCCTCAAATATTGAAAGATGCTCTCCTGTCTCCCCTGGTCCTTCTCTTCCCTAGACTAGCCAGGCCCAGTGTCCTGCAACCGTTCTCCAGTCCCCTCCAGAGTCTCTTTATTTCCTAGTTTGTGGCCTTCGTACAAGAACACCTGCAAAGTAACCCCACTACTACAGGATTTGCACCAATTCCCCAAGCCACCCCCTCAAGAAAAACCCACACATGGTGTATATCTTAGGAGTAGTTCCTCCCTGTGGTGGATTTCAGCGCCTGGAACTCCCAGCACGAGTGCACCTAGAAGATGCCCAGGTGAGGAGGGCAGCCTCGGACTAAGATTCTATCTTCCTGGGTCTTTTTGAGCCATGTTCCTACCTGTGGAATCGTGTTCCTTTTTTTTTTTTTTTCCCAGATTGGGAGGGGTCTTATTGTTTCTCTCATACGGGTAGTCCTCGAATTACGACCACACTCGAGCCTCAAAATTGCCATTCCTAAGCTAAAAACATGTTCAGTGAGGTTCCATTTTACGGCCTTCGTTGTTAAGTGAGTCACTGCCGTGGTTCCCTGAACGGCCGTTGTTGCTCGCTTATCAACGGCAGCGATTCACGTTAACGACTGTGGCAAGAAAGGGGGGGCAAAATGGCAGGACTCAAAACGTCTCACTTAACGACCGAAAATCTTGAGCGGTGTAAATGGGATTACAGGGGAGAAGAGGGGATCTTTTGAGGAAAGAGAAGCTGAATTTCATTGGTTCGGGACTTTCTTTTTGGGCCAACCAACTAAGGATTGTCACACTCTTAATTTTAGGAAAAAGGTAGAAAACCCAGCACTGGGTTTGTGGGTGTTTTGTTTTGTTTTTTAGTTAGGAAAAAATTAAGGTTTGGTGGTCCGTTATGTAGAGAAAGTAGAATATTAGAGACGATCCTCCTAATCATACAACTGATTAAATTAAAAGTCTTGAAATTCAGGACAGAAAAAAATGAAGTTGCTTCGGCAGGATCTACTGAAAAACATGGGCTTGATTTCCACAAGATGGGGCTGGACCGGTGAGGCCTTTGGATTTCTCCAGTCGGCCATTTTTAGTTCTGGCAAGATGGTGGCCCTGCTCCCTGCCAGATTTCTTAATAGGAAAGATGGTGTGTGAAGGATGAAGGTGACTTTAGTCTGGTTGGTCTAGTGGTTAAGGCAACCAGGCTAAAAAGGAGATGGTGAGTTCTAGTCCTGCCCCAGGTACGAAAGCTGGCTGGATGACTGGATCAGTCACACACTCAACTCCACTTCACAGGGTTGTTGTGGGCTGGGTGACTTTGGATCAATAACCAGGAGACAGTGAGTTCTAGTCCTGCTTTAGACATACTGGGTGACTGGGTCAGTTAACTCTCAACTCCAACTCACAGGGTTGTGGGCTGGTGACTTTGGATCAATAACCAGGGGTAAGTGAGTTCTAGTCCTGCCACAGGTATGAAAGCTGGCTGGGTGACTAGGCCAGTCACTCTCAATTTAACTCCACCTCACATGGTTGTGGGCTAGGTGACTTTGGATCAATAACCAAATGACAATGAATTCTAGTTCTGTCCGAAGCATGTCCAAAACTGACCAGGTGACTTTGGACTAACTAACAAAGTGACTTCTAGTTCTGCCCTAAGCACAAAAAAGAAGTAGGTGACTTTGGACTAATCAAGAAAAAGTGAGTTCTAGTCCTGCTTTAGATACGAAAGGTGACTGGGTCAGTCACTCAACCTAAGTCCACCCCACAAGTAGTTGTGGGCTGGGTGACTTTGGGTCAATAACCAGGGGACAGTGAGTTCTAGTTCTGTCCTAAGCACGAAAACCGACCGGGTGACTTTGGACTAATCCAGAAAGTGAGTTCTAGTCCTGCTTTGGAGGGGAAAGCCTGCTGGGTGACTGGGTCAGTCACTCGCTCTCAACCTAATCCACCTCGCAGGGTGGTGGTGGGCTGGGTGACTTTGCTTCAGTAGCCAGGAGACCGTGAGTTCTAGTTCTACCCTTAGCGTGTAAGCCGCCTGGGTGACGTTGAGCCAGTCCTCGGGAGACTCGGGAAATCTAGTCCCGCCTTAGGCACACGCAAAAAAAACCAGCTGGGTGACTTTGGACAGCTCTCTAGGCGACAAGGAGTTCTAGTCCTACTTTAGGCATGAAAGCTGGCTGGATGCCTAGGCCCATCGCTCACTCTCCACCTAGTTCACCTCCCAGAGTTGTGGGGAAAATAGGAAGAGGAAGGGCCAGTAGGTATATCCGCCACCTTGAATTATATCTAAAAATAATTAAAAGGTGGGATTTTTTTTTTAAAAAAAACTTCAATTTACCTCACACAGTTGAAAAATTTCCCATTTACACAGTTGAAAATCCATGGCTCTTCTATCCATTTGTGCCTACACTGATATCTGAATGTGTCTCGCGCTCAAAGCAGCGACTCCGTTGTCCTGAGGGATGGGGGGGTGTTGTGCATTTTGGGGAAAATAAATTGGATTATTCAATAAAGTTGAAATATTTCTAAGCCCGGTCCTTGTTTGTCTTACGGCGCTCTGAGTTTGAGCCTAGGGGGAATTGGGGAGCGGAGAACTACACTGCAATTGTATTTAGAATAGAATAACAAAGAGTTGGGAGGGACCTTGGAGGTCTTCTAGTCCAACCCCCTGCTTAGGCAGGAGAACCCGACACCACTTCAGACAAAATGATTAGCCAACATCTCCCAAATTGGAACATAAAATAACAGTGTTTGGAAGGGACCTTGGAGATCATCTAGTCCAACCCCCCTGCTTGAGCAGACCATATATACCATTCCAGACAGGTGGCTATCCAATTACTTCTTCAAAACTTCCAGTGTTGGAGCATTCACAACTTCTGGAGGCAAGTTTTAATTGTTTTCACTGTCAGGAAATTTCTCCTTAGTTCTAAGTTGCTTTTCTCCTTGATGAGTTTCCATCCGTTGCTTCTTGTCCTGCCCTCAGGGGCTTTGGAGAATAGCTTGACTCCCTCTTCTTTGGGGCAGCCCCTGAGATATTGGAGCAGTGCTATCATGTCTCCCCTAGTCCTTTTTATTTATTTGTTAAATATTTTTCCCACCTTCCTCGCCATGGGGCTATTCTGGGCCCACTTACAACAACAAAACGTGAAAAGATTTTAAAAAGTGAAAAGATTTTAAAAAGTAAATATAACAACACTAATAAAACCACACAATGGAATTCAGGTGGTCCTCGACTTAACAACCACAAACGGAGCCCAAAATTTCCATCGCTGAGACATTTGAGTTTTTCCCCATTAGACAGTCTTGCTTGCCACGGTCGTTAAGCAAACCGCGGCAGTCGTTAAGTTAGCCACACGGTCGTTAAGCAAATCCGGCTTCCCCGTTGACTTTGCTCGTGAGAAGGTTGCCAAAGGGGATTCCAGCCCCACCCCACCCCAGGGACGCCGCGACCGTCGTAAATACGAGACAGTGGCCAGGCGCCTGATTTTTGGATCGCGTGACCACAGAGGATGCTGTCTCGGTCACGTGACAAACTGGCCATACGTCACTTATTTCCCATGCCTTTGTAACTTCGAGTCACTAACTGAATCATCGTAAGTCAAGGACCACCTGTAAGAGCATGAAATTAAAAAGTTGGGCGGAAGGGAAATAGGAATCGGAGGCGGATGTTTAAACGCTGGCATTTTAATATTAGCAGTGTCAGGATTCCGGCACTTCACTCCAATTAAATCATGAGTCTCGAGCCAAACTTCCAAAAGATTTATTGGGAGTTAACATGTCCGGCACTGCCTGGGTGTAGCCGACACTGAGGCACATCATTCATTGTCACCCTTGACCCTGGTTTTCCCCCCACCCCTCTGGGCATATTATAATTCATATTCTCCAATGGTGTGGAGCCAATAACTTGGTCCTCAACACCAAGAAGACCAAGGAGCTGATAGTGGACTATATAGAAGGAACAGGTCAGACCTCCAGCCCTTGCTTATCCGTGGAGACCGAGGGGAGCCAGTGGCCAGTTTTAAATTTCTGGGTGCTACCCTAAAAGAGGACCTGACCTGGGGGACTCACATTGCGCCCCTGGTCAAAAGGGCCCAGCAGAAATTAGACTACCTGAGGCTTCTCAGAAAACAACTGGATGGAAAACTGCTGGTGACCTTCTACCGCTGCACCATAGAGAGTATCTTAATTTACTGCACACCTCTGTATGGTTTGCCAATTGCACTGTGGCAGATAGGACAGCGCTCCAGAAGGTTAACGTTTAATCATGGGTTGCCCTCTCCCCTCTTTGGAAGAGCTTTAGAGCTTTCACTGCCTTGAGAAAGTTCAAAACATTCTCAAAGATCCATCTCATCCTGGGCACCCCCTTTTTTTTTTTTTTGAACTATTACCATCTGGCAGACGGTACAGGATAATAAAAACAAGGACAAATAGGCTGAAAAACAGCTTCTCTCCCAAAGCGGTAGCTCTTTTGAATTCTACTATATAGTGCAGTGTTGGTGTGGTGTCAGGGTTTTTTGGGGTTCAATGTGTGGAGTGTGAAAGATGTGTGTTTGTGTTGATTTTCATGGTTATGATGTGCACTGAAGATGGTGTTTTGATTTCGTTGTACGAGGTGCAATGACAATAAAGTAAACTAAACTAAACAATGGGACACGTCCATAGCCCAGAGTCATCAATCATGCTCTCCAGTTAGAATTTTGCCCGGCAGGAACTTCAGTCACCTTGTTACTATCTTTGAAAACTATTTATGGAATGCACTTTCAGTTTGCAAGCTGCCCCACTGCCCTTTCAGACCCCTTTCCCCCCCCCCCCTTTCTGTTGGCAACTCTAAAAAGACCAGAGAAATATTTTATGAGTTGACAAGCAGATGTATAACGGAGCATGTTAGTGCCACAGTTAATAAGTCATCCATCCGTAATTCATTAATCCATTGTTTTAATTGGGGGGAGGGGGGAAATCGATGGGGAACTCATCAAATTTGCAGACGACACCAAGCTGGCAGGAATAGCCAACACTCCAGAAAGCAGGCTTAAGATCCAGAGGCATCTGGGCAGATTTGAACATTGGGCGCTATCTAACAAACTGATGAAAAAAGTAAGGTTCTAACTTTAGGCAAGAAAAACAGAATACGCAGGTACAGTATATGTGGTGCCTTGCTCAATAGTAGTGAAGCAGTGTGAGAAAATTCCCAAAAGGTATTAATACTATTTTCAGAAGTTATTTGACTTATATATTGCAAGCTTTAGAAAATACAGGGACTTGCTGAATGTAACATGGAACCTGACCTGTGAACGTAACGTGACCTATGTACTAGATCTTTTCTGTAATGTATTGCAAGAGGTGGCTACCAGAAGTAACAGATGGTGTAAGATAATACCATATATGGAAAATGTAGCAAGAGAGAAAACTCCTTTTCTGTCATGGTATAGCCAAATTAATAGTTACGCCCTAGGCGTTACACCTCGGGAGTAACTCAGGGTTCAGAATTTGACATGTTAATGCTCTGAACCTTTGCGCAAATAAACCTTTTCCTCCAACCCTTCGTGGTCTTGTGTCCTGAACTGGTGACTAAGATTGCTGCAACAGTAGTAACTGAGAGAGGGTTCTCGGAGACCGAGTGGACAACCATTTAAATAGGAGCCAGCTGTGTGCAGCAGCTGCCAAAAAAGCCAATGCAATCCTAAGTTGCATTAGCAGAGGGATACAATCGAGATCAAGTGAGTAACTAATATTACTCTATAAAGCCTTAGTAAGACCACACCTAGAGTACTGCATCCAGTTTTGGTCACCACAATATAAAAAAGATGTTGAGACTCTAGAAAGAGTGCAGAGAAGAGCAACAAAAGAGGATTAGGGGACTGGAGGATAAAACATATAAAGAATGGTTGCAGGAAATGGGCCTAGCTAGTCTAATGAAAAAGAAAGGACCAGGGGAGACATGACAGTAGTGTTCCAATATCTCAGGGGCTGCCCTAAAGAAGAGGGAGTCAAGCTATTCTCCAGAGCACCTGAAATCAGGACAAGAAGCAACAGATGGAAACTAAACAAGGAGAGAAGCAACCTGAAATTAAGAAATTTCTTAACAGTGAAAACAATTAACCAGTGGAACAGCTTGCCACCAGAAGTTGTGAATGCTCCAACACTGGAAATTTTTAAGAAGAGATTGGACAGCCATTTGTCTGAAATGGTGTAGGGTTTCCTGCCTAAGCAGGGGGTTGGACTAGAAGACCTCCAAGGTCCCTTTCAACTGTTATTCTATTTTATTCTATTCCAGTTCCTGCCTCTCCTCCACCAGCCCATCCCAATGAAAACTCCTTGCATTTCCTTCCACTAATCTAGGCAGACTTGCTAATTTATTTATGATTTAAATTTATACAGCCAGCCCTCAACTTGGCCATTATTGGGCTCAGAATTTTGGCGGTAAGTTGAATTCTCCCCTTGACCGGATTCAATTTTGGGTCTTATTTTTACAATGGTCATTAAGTGAATCCTGCGGCCGTTAAGCCAAACCATTCTTCTGAAGGAGCCCAGTTTTGCCACTCACTTGCAAAGCAACGTCCCAAATCAAAGAGCCAACGGCCATAAAGGCGAGCACCCAAAATGCAGTCATGTGAGAGGCCATCGTAGCTTCAAGGTCGGGTCATAAGTACAGGTAGCCCTCGACTTAAACAACAGGTTCGTTTAGGGGCTGTTCAACGTTACAACGGCAACTATAAAAAATAGGGACTTACGACCGTTTTTCCTTGGCCGCATCCCCATGATCAACATTTAGACTCTCGACAACTGGTTTATATTTACGACCGTGGCTGGGGTGACGTGATCCCCTTTTGCGACCGTCTGACAAACAACGTCAGTGGGGAGAGCCTGATTCACTTAACAACCGGGCAGCAAGAAAAGTCGTAAAATGGGACAAAGTTCACTCCACAAGGTCCCTTCCAACTCTGTTAATCTGTGAAAAGTTGCCAGGTCAGCA